AGTGGGTGTGTGTGAGCTGTAAAAGAGGGCTCGCCCGGCTGGGGGGAAGGAGCCTCCCTGAGCTAAGGTGTGGTCTGGGGACTGATGCAGTGCTTTTCGTCACGATCCCATCCCTTGACTTAAACCAGTACGGGTTGGTGCCCGAGAGCTCTCTTTTCACCAGGAAACTTGCGTGGTTTCCTCAAATCAGGGTCATCCTCTTCCTTTCCGGGAAGTGGCGGGGGGGCTTGACACCATGGCTGCCCCGTCAGTCAACGTCAGCCTTTGTCAGGTGTTGTAGGAACTTCAGGACTGGTGAGGGACTGAGAACAGTTGATCCTGTCGCTGATTACAAGAATCCAGCCTTTCTAGTAGTTTTTTAATGTGTAGTCTGGCCAAACTCGCAACCATTTAACCTTTCCAGTATTTCCTCACGTATTTTCCTGTGCCTCTCATTACACCCATGCTACCTCCTTTCCCAGTGCTGACTCTCCAGCTTTTGGTCTTGTAGACTTTTTGTGGATCCTTACACTTTATGTGAAAGGAATCCAGCCTTGGTTAAAGGTTCCAGACCCTCAAGACTTTATACAGGATAAGGTGGGCAACAGAGAAGCCACTTTCTTTTGTGTGTACAGGTTGCAAAGTTGCTGAGTTGCAATGTTGCTCTTCCTTCAGGTCGACTGTACAGCAAACTCAAACACCTGTAATAAGTACGGCGTCAGTGGATATCCCACCTTAAAGATTTTCCGAGATGGAGAAGAGGCCGGTACCTACGATGGGCCCAGGACAGCAGGTAAGAGCTGTCAGCAGGCGTCTGGCTTGAGGAAATGGTGCTGGAAGGCAGACCCATGTCCAGTAGACCGATGGACTGGTGTCAGGGTGTTGTGTGTCTGGAGGGATGCAAAGAAGGCTCCCACCTACACACACAGCCCCACGTTGCCCTTGCCAGAAATCTCTGTGCGGGCAGAGCCCAGGGTGTTCAGTGTCCCTTAAAGCTCTCTCTGAAGGTGAAGGTTTCCACATTGTCTTTAACTCCTGGTTCCTTTGGTGGGTGTTATCTGGAAAGTGCTAGAAAGCTGGTGATAGCACTGCTTCAATTCCCATCCTGTTTATCGTATGGGAGAGGTGTGTGGGTTCTGCAGAAGAAACTCTTGCTTTGGGAAGCTTGAAGGATGTCTGGTAGAACTTCCTGTTGATGCCTTTAATCATTCAACTCTTCTTTCAAGATGGGATCGTCAGTCATCTCAAGAAACAGGCGGGACCTGCTTCGGTGGCTCTCAGTTCTGTGGCTGATTTTGAGAAATTCATCGGCGATAAAGACGCTTCCGTGGTGGGTGAGTAGACTCTGCAGCACTGAAACGAGTGGACGCTCGGCTCTGGGAGGTGTCTGGGGAGCGTGCTGTGGGGGGATAAGCAGCAGCACCACAAGCTGTAGCAAAAGAAATCCCAGCTGGATGTGAGCAAAGAGTTTTCTGATAATGAGAATGTTGAAGGACTGGAATGTGTGCCCAGAGGGATTTCGAAACATCCAGATTTCCAAAACTCAGCTGGGCAAAGCTTTGAGTGACCTGATCTGGCATTGGAGCTGGCCCTGCTGTGGGCTGGAGGTTGGGCTTGGTGACCTCAGGGATTCCTTCCAGCTGCTTCTGTGTCTGTCAGCCCTCCTGGCACCATGGTGTCTTTTCTTTTGTCGCTCTCTTGGCCGGCTGGCAGCAGGTAGCTTTGGCTTGCTGGGAGGTACGTGTGGGTGTGCATCGTGACACCGCTAACGTGGTGATTTGATTACGGTTTACAGGTGACAATAGCAAACGTGCAGCTCAGTGCCATCTACGAGTGACACTGGATGAGTACCGATCAGCATTCCCAAACTTGCTTTCGTTGGCAGCTGTTGTCACCTGTGGTGTCACGTTGTCACAAGGGATGTCCTGGTGCTCGGGGCACAGCTGCCTCCTGGCTGCACGGCCAAGCTGGGCAGACACTTGAGTGGCTGCTGGGGCAAGAGAGGGAATGTGGAAAACTCCCAATAAAAACGGGAGGGAAGCTGTCAGAGGTGAAGGCCTGGGCATGCACTGCAGGACTGAATTCAGGAGTGATGTCAGTGCACTGCAGAGGTAACGGTGAGGGCTGCACAGCGATGGCTGCCGAGGCCGTCTGGGATCACGGCTCTTTCTGCTCCAGGCTTCTTCGGAGACCCCTCTGGTGATGCTTACTCAGAGTTCATGAAGGCCGCCAACAACCTAAGAGATAACTACCGCTTCGCGCACACCAGCGAGGACCAGTTGGTGCAGAAGTACGAGGAGGATGGAGAGTAAGTTGTTTAACACAAGGATTTCTGGTTATTAATAAGTCTGGAACAAATCAATGTATTCCAGTTGTTAACTGGAATCACTTTCTGAACATAGCTTAGGGTCTCGTTTCTTCCCCAACCACCAGTGGTGTATCTGTATGTCTCTTGAATTGAGAGAGATACAGAGGGTTGCAGGCTCTGGAGGGTTGGTGTCTGTCTCAACAGGTGTTTTGCTTCCCCATTGCTTGTTATGCTGGGGTTGTTTCTCACTGTGGCCTGTGTGAGTAAGGGAGAAGGGTCTGACAGGTGGATCTAATGCAGTGGTGCCCCCAGGACACGGAGTCTTGTTGGATCCATGAACAGTGGACGGGGATGGTCACTGGGTTCTTGCCTCATCTGCTGCCATCCTTGGAAAGCCAGGGATGCTCTTGACTAACTCACAATCCCTGCTTCCCCTCAGGGGCGTAGTCTTATTCCGTCCTTCGCGCCTGGCAAACAAGTTTGAGGACAGCTCCGTCAAGTACACAGAAGACAAAATCACCAGTGGAAAGATCAAGAAATTTATCCAGGAGAACATGTGAGTTCCTTCGGCCTCGCTGATTGCTGTTGTTTCACGCTGGGTGGGAAACACGTGTGCTGATTGCTGGGAGGTGATGGGTGCTGGGCAGTGGAGCTGAAGGTGCTGACGTCTGTCTCGTTGGTAGTTTTGGCATCTGCCCACACATGACTGAGGACAACAAGGACTTGATCCAGGGGAAGGACTTGTTGGTGGCGTATTACGATGTGGACTACGAGAAGAACGCGAAGGGATCCAACTACTGGCGCAACAGGTACGGCCACGGGGGTTGATCGGCCTCACTCGCGCGTTCCCGGTGTTGGTGCTGCTCCGTGGCTGTTGACAAAGTCCCTCCCATTGTCCACACGTGAACTCTTCTCTCCAGAGAGATTCCAGCCGTTTCCAATGGAAGCCACTGGGGCAGCTGCTGCCTGCAGAGCCCAGGGCGTGCAGCACGCGTGTCCTTGGAAACCCCAGCCCCGCTCTTGGATCCTTGGACCATAAACATGAGCTTCCTTGCTGCTGGTGTGGGGATTCTGTCCCTTGAGTTCCCCAGTGCCCGAGGCCCTGGTGGCCCTGCTGAGGGGGTGGAGGATGAGTGCACGCAGCACTTGCACAGGCCTCGGTCACAGCAGACACAGGCTTTGCTCCTCTGCTTCTCAACACCACTCCTATAGGAGTTAGCGAACGCATCAAACCATTGAATCCCTTGTCCAGTGTGCACTTCAGCTTGGAGGGTGTTATGATGTGAAGATAATGCTCCAAGGAATCATGCCTTGTGTTTTGTGCTTTTTTCTCTCAGAGTTATGATGATTGCCAAGAAGTTCTTAGATGCTGGCCACAAGCTGTCTTTTGCTGTCGCGAGTCGGAAAACCTTCAGCCATGAGCTCTCAGAGTTTGGTCTGGACAGCAGCACGGGTGAGGCTCCGGTTGTTGCCATCAGGACTGCTAAAGGAGATAAATACGTCATGCAGGAAGAGTTCTCGTAAGTTTTTTTTGAACTTGGCAGTGTTGCCTCTCGCCTGATGGACTTTGGTCTGGCTCTGTGACCAGATCATGCCACCTTAGCTTGGAGGGAATGGGGAAGCTGCGTGTTCCAGCTGGAAGAAACGATTGCTGGGTCAAAGTGGCTCCTGCTCATGTGTCTCCCTGCCCTCTAGAGAGCTTGCTGCCTCTTTGGTTATACAAAGGAATAGAGTTTAATTCAAGATACTTAAATATCTGGTTAGGAACTAAGATGCATCAAAGGGCAGAGGAAGTAGTTCTGTGTTTCTTCTGGAGAAAAGAAACTTAAGGGTGTTGGAAGGCCTAAAACTTAGAGCGGGGTTGTCACAACTCCTAAGGGCATCTTTGCCCTTTTTCTGGGATCTTCTAAGCCAGCCCCAGACTGGTGCTGTGGGAGATGCAGGCGGCATCTGTTCTGTGGGTGGACAGAGCTTAAATCAGCCTTGAGAGTTCTCTCATCCTGTGTATGCGATGGCTTTAAAACGTCACTTCACTTTCAGCCGCGATGGAAAGGCTCTGGAGAGATTCCTGCAAGATTACTTCGATGGCAACCTGAAAAAGTACCTGAAATCAGAGCCTGTCCCTGAGAGCAACGATGGCCCCGTCAAGGTGAGTGAGGGCTGTGTCCGTGGCCCTGTATCGCGCGTAGCAGCAGCTCCCACCAGTGGATGAGAGGACGCTGCTCAGCAGCAGCTTCCGCTCCTAAGCCAGTGTCCCGTGCTGCGTGGTGGTATCTCCAGAAGCCCCTGCTGTGAGGGATGGATGGAAGAATTCGCTCCCTCGTTGTGCTGCGGTTTTCTGAGCCAAGGGAGAAATGCAGAGTGCAGTTTTGATTCAGTCCTGTTCTCTCAGCGCAGCAGCTGCTGCTTGAGCACACGAGCAAGGTGCAAGTGCAGGATCATCCAGATTTACAGGGATTATGCAAACGCCTGGCTTGGCTTCTGCTGTCTTGGTTTCTGCTCCCTTGTGGCGTGGTATTTAAGTTGCTCGTGACTGTTTCTAAGGAGTTTCGTGTTCCTCCCATCACGGTAGGGGTGGTGTAACCCCAGCCTTCATCCCCCCAGTAGATTCTGACTGACTGAAAGCGCTCCATGTCCTGGCTTTAGGATGAGGGCACTGTTGTTTGTGTGGATGGGGATGGCCTCAGCCAGCCTCACTAAACTGATTCCTCAGCCTGAAACCTGCTGAGATTAAAAAGAAATCATTTTGTGCTCTTGCTGTGAGGATACCAGATGCAAACCTCACCTGCAGGTAGTGCTGGTACCTTCTGACAGGTTTTACTTGCAAGAGGCCGTTAGGTGGAGAGGAGTGGGGGTGTGTGGTCACTGCTGCTTGCTGCGGGAGGGCCCCGTGTGGGGCACAGCGCGTTGCAGGCTCACTAACTCCTGTCACCAACGTTACCAGGTGGTGGTTGCGGAGAACTTTGATGAAATCGTTAACGCAGAAGACAAGGATGTCCTGATCGAGTTCTACGCACCCTGGTGTGGCCACTGCAAGAACCTGGAGCCCAAATACAAAGAGCTGGGGGAGAAGGTAGGTCTGGGGCTCTGCTGCGAATGTTAACTAGAGTTTTGCGGCTCTAAGCAGTCCTGCAGGCTCTCTCTGTCCAGCCCTGACGATGACTGGGCATAGTTGTGCCCTGCTGAGAACAGGGAGTTCTGGCATCTGCTGTGCATGCAGGAGCGTGTTAGGATCTGGAGTGTGGCAGCAGCCACCCTCGTAGGCTTAGCCTGTGCCCTGTACTGCGGCACGTAAATATTCCCCACTTCAGCCACTGGCCCTGACTGGCAAGGTTCCCTTTTGGGTCCTTTCCGTCTGCGTGGTTACGGTCTCCCATCTGGTGAGGGACGGTGCTGCCCTGCATGCTTTCACAAGTGCAGTAAATAAATCTGTTCTGCCAGATCTGCCCAGCCTTTCGCGGTTTGGCCGTCGGCCCCTCCTTCCCCAGCGCTGCCCGTCCCCACAGCTCGGTCTGGGGCTGCAGGGGAGCAGCCGCACTGGGTCAGCGCTCCCGGCCGGTTCAGTGGGCGGCTGAGGGGGCTGTCCCTGCGCCCCTGTTGAAGCAGACAAAAACAGCTCTGGGGAGACTTGCCTGCTTTTGGCACACTGTGTGCTGTCCTCTGACACCGCTGTCGTGGACGATGCTCATCGGTGAGTCCCTGGTGTTCACTGCTCTGGCTTGGCTACCAATGGCTCTTTCTACCAACAGCTCAGTAAAGACCCCAATATCGTCATTGCCAAAATGGATGCCACAGCCAATGATGTGCCTTCTCCGTATGAAGTCAGAGGGTAGGTCTTGCTGGTGTTACTCTGCTGTGTCGGGGGGGAGGGCAGGCTCCTCCAGCAACAGGAGCTGGGGGAGCCCCTGGGGGGAGGACGGGTAGGGGTGACTGGTGTGTGATTGCCAGGAGTTCACTTGGAGTGAGGAAATTGGGTGAAAACCAAGGGCACTCTTCTGCCTTGCTGTCCTGGCTGTGCCTGGGACCCGTCTCGCTGCTTCCAAATCCGCTGAGATCCTGCCCTTGGCAGTGGGTTTGCGTTTCTGGAAGCAGTTCAGCAAACCTGGACATGGCTGAGCTCAGACAACCGTGGGCACGGCCGAGCCCTTGGAGGCCGCTGCTGCCCCTGAGAGCTGTGAGGCTGTGGCCAGGTTAAACTGAGGATGCAGCGTGCGGGTCCCTCCAGTGAGGGCTGCTCTGAGAGGAAACGGAGCGTGTTACGAGTTGGATGTCTCTCCTCTCTCCCCAGCTTCCCCACCATCTATTTTGCTCCAGCTGGCAAGAAGCAGAGTCCAAAGAAGTACGAGGTGAGCGTTCTGCTGCTTTGTGAAGAAGTGAAGTAGCATCCGGGTGTCCAAATACTGTGGAGCCTCTGGAGCTGCCGTGGCTCTGTCCTGTTGGTTACCCTGGGAATGCAGCTGGGTTGACCCACAGGGGGGCTCTGCTCTGCATCCCCCCAGCAAAGGGGGGTCCCTGGGCACAGGCGCTGCCTCATTGTCTGGTGCTTCCTGCAGGGTGGCCGGGAAGTGAACGACTTCATCAGCTACTTGAAGCGGGAGGCGACCACCGCTCCCGTGCTGCAGGAGGAAGATAAAACCAAGAAATCCAAGAAGAAGCCGAAGGAGGATTTGTAAAGCGCCTGCTCGCCGTCCCGTCGGGATGAGCTCTGTGTGAATTGGGGAAGCACTGGGCAGCCTGGGGCCAGGTCTGGGTGGTGGAGAGCCAGCGTCCGTGCGGGCTGAGGGGACCCAGCTGCTGTATCTCGTTGTGTTTCATTTCCTGCCCTCTTAGCTGCACTGTTGTGGGGCTCCCCAGAATGGTTTGTTTTGTGGTTTGGGAGGGGGTGGTGGGTAGGGTTATTTTCTAATTTTTTTTGTACATTTGGAGAAGTGAAACAATAAAATGACCCCATTAAGACCAAAGGTCCTAGTCCTGTGGAGATCCTCAAACCGAACACCAGGATCCTGCTCTTCGTGGGCAGCAGCGTCCTTTGGTGAGCCTTGATCTGTTTCTAGGTCTGAAGCTCAGCCTTTGGCCTGTTCCCCTCTCTTGGGGTAATGAGAACCTTTCCAGAGCGCAGCAGCAGCAGCAGCTCTCGTGTGCTGTGCTTCCCGTGCTGCGTTTACGTAGATGTGGGGCCTGGGGACTCTGCTCACAAACGCTTCTGCTGCCTGCGTGGTGCCTGACCGGGCAGTGGTGCCGTTTCCCCAAGTTCAGGTGCGGTGCTTCTGTGACCGTGGGACCTGGGCAGGTGTGGACAGAGCAGTCTGGCCCTGGGCTTCCTCAGCAGCGCTCGGGCAGCGGCAAAGAATTTGCACCAGCTTAAAAGCAGAAGTGGTGAAGTGTAGGGGAGGAGCGTTACCAGGGGTAGGGCTGCAGCTGAGGGTTTCTCACAGCCCGAGGCTTGTCTGCGGCTTGTGCAGAGCAGTTAATCGTAAGATCATCACTCCTTGGTTGAAAGCAGGCTGGGAGCTGCGGCTTTCGCTTCAGGAGGGAGAGGAATAGGATCCTGTGCTGCAGGCTGTGACCATCGCAGGGTGCCGCCTACCAGACCCCACTGTGGCTCTGTGCTGATGGGGAAGGTGGGGAGCAGAGGGGGGCTCTGCCCTGGCTCCCCGAGCTTCTCGGGCTGTGTCTGAGGTGAGGTGAGGACCAGCAGCCTCGCAGGGCGCTGCTGCGCAGTTACCATGGCAAGAGACAGCGCTGGTGGATTCCTCCCCCGCAGCTCTGTGGGCTCCGTACCTGTTATTTATTGCTGCTGGCGCTGCAGGTACGGATTGCACAGCGCTCTGCACGTGGCTCTGTCTGCAGCAGCGGTGCTGAAACGCTTCAGAAATACAGGAGTTTCTTCCCCAGCTACGTCAGTGTCTTAACCACATCTGCCCTCTGCTCTGCTGCTGTCCCAGAGTGGATATCGAGGCATCCTGGGGACAGGGGAGCCTGTGTGTGACACTGAGGGGTTCTCACGCTGGTGGGACAGGACCCCTGCAGCCGGGTGTGCACTTGGCCACTGGAGCCAGGAGTGAGAATACAAAGATGGAGCTGGGGAGCTGCGGTCTTGGCTCCTGGGGCTCAAGAGTCGGTAGAGACAGAGACCAAGGCTGGGGAAAGCAAAGACTGAGCACCCGGGTGGCAGAGGATGGGTCTGAGTGCCCGGTCTTGCTCCCTCCTCGCCTGCCCTAGGTTACCTGGTCCCCCCACTCATCCCCG